GCCCAATAAAAACTTCTGTCTACTGGACAACCGAACCCGTGTCTGTCGTTTTCTGACATCATTATTATTATTATTATTATTATTATTATTATTATTATTATTATTTTGCAGTTTCAATTAATGTGTAGTTTTGCATGTTTCCTTAATATAATGTATTTCCGCACTTCCATGGATACATGTTTTTTTGTAAAAATATGACCCTAATATACATTTTAAAAAATGTTTGGGAAAAAGTAATGTCTAATTCTAAGATTTTCAAATGATCACTGAGTTTCAGTGCATGTTCTGGTTTGTAAATGTAAAGTTAGGTAACATTGTTCCCTCATTCCTAGTCAGGACATCGCCATCCTTGTATTGTACATAGGTGCTTCAAGAAAAGAAGGGTCCTTCTTCATTTCCCCAGAATCACAACCCTGTAATTTAGCAATAAAATACTCAGGTTCAGGAGTGGCAGGAACAAAATTCCAAAAGCCACAGTAGGCCCATGTCTTTACTAGAGCTGATTAAAACATTACCTAGTGGTAAGTAAGCTTTTATGTTCTCCAGTATTCTTTTTCAGACAGAGTATTTAGTTAAGGAACCCAATGGGAGGCCAGGAGTTAACAGTGCAAAGAAGTCCCAAGTTTGCAGTTCATAGCATTCATTAAACTCTTTCTTTAGACCTTAATTAATTTAGACCCAAGAGAAACTACTTAGCATCCCAAATATTAGCTGAGCTACAACCCTCAGCTGTTCCAGGCAGCGCATCTAATGGTGAGGGTTGCTGGAAGCTGGAGTTCAGTAACATCCAGCCTGCTCTAGGTCCCATAGTCCTATTATAGCCTGGGCTAGAGGCAAAGCATGTTTGCAAATGTAACGAGCTTGTCAAAATGTATTCCCACTTCTCTTTTTGATATGTATTCTCAAAAAATATTTGGTATGCCATTAAAGCACCCCTTTATTCTGTAAGCAGGGGGAATATGACTGAATGATACATGGATATATAGTGTTCAGAATTCTCTATATGGCAATTAATGTAAGCAACCATTTTTATTTTCACGTAAAGAAGACCTTTATTTTTGGTTGCTGATACGACTGAAAGAGCCATTTAGCTAGACACCTCACTGACTGTATCTGATTTTGAAAAAATAAGCAGGATCAGATGTGGTTAATGCTCCACTAGAAATCCCAGGACAATAGTAAAAAAAAAAAAGTCTTGGAAGAATGCAATGACAAAAGACTTATTAATTTGTTAGATTTATATCTCACTTTTCCTCTAAGAACTCAAGGCAGGTTTACACAACAGCAACTCTATAATGTAGACTGGGCCAAAATCACCCATAAGCTTTCATGGCCAGGAATATATTAGAACTTGGGTTTCCTGGCCTTAATTACTACCCCAGATTGGCATACATCTCTGCTTTACTGAGAAAAATCACCAGAAGATGAGTTCAACTCAAGGGAGAATTTACTTTTTATTACATTGATATAATCTGATGGTATCACTCAGAAAATATACCCCTGTTACATGATTGATTGCTGTCATGTCTGCCTGGTAAATATAATTCTGGATGTACTTTAATCTTTGCTGCTTAGAGAAACTATTTCGATACTTCAGAAAGAAGAAAAAAGAAAAATGCATTCCTTTTTAAAAATTGTACCTCATTCTGTTCCCCATCTGCATTGCTAATGGTGGAAGAAAATCAGCAACGGACAATCGATGAAGAAGCAGAGGAAAGTCACCTACTTGTTCACGTGGAAACTGGCCAATTTTGGCCCAGAAGATCCGTTCAGTTGGACATTCGGGATCCCGTGCAAAAGTACTAAAAACACCATGTTTCTTTTTCTCTCTTGTTTCCAGTTCTTCCAGGAAGGATTTGACTTTGCAACTAGTCAGCTCAGAGGTTTTTTTCTACCATCATTAAATAAAAGAAGATATTGGTTTAGAAGTGGAAATAAGTAGAATGTGCCTTGTGTGTGTGCATATATACCAAAATGTACATGTGTGAACAATTAATTTAAGGTAGAACTGGATCAAATCCAAAGATCTCACTTCAAATGAATGTGTCTACTATGGGCAAATATAATACAGATACAACTTTCAGCATGATCTGAGTCCCTTAAGAAAATTCTCACTCGAGTCACAAATGATCAGGCTCAAATTATCTATTTTGGATATGTTATGTAAAGACCTAGCTCTCTAGAGAAGACTCTAATGCTGGGAAAGATGGAAAGAAAGAGAAGAGAATAATAACTGAGTCTAGGACTATAAGATTGCAAAATGTAACTTGACTCTTATTACTTGTTTCTATTATACATTACAGCATTTATCACTTCTTTTTAAACATTCCCAATCAGAAAATTCCTTAATTCTATTATTCCTAAAGTCTTAGAGTTTTAAAAAAGTGGCTGGAAGAAAGGATTCACTCATCTGCTGAAGTTTTGTCAGTCTAATTGTAGCCTTCCCAATGTGGTATCTTCCAAAAACCTTTAACTACAGCTTTGATCATCCACAGCCAGTGTGGTCAATGACTATGATGGCAGATAGGATCAAAGCTGTAGTCCAACAAATCTGATGAGCACTCAGTTGGGGAAGTCTATGTACTACTAACCAAATGGTAGAGAACTTTTGCAAGCAAAAAAAGTGAGAACACATACATCACCAGCAAAATGTCCAGAAATTATAGGCTTTGACCTGTCACTTGTGAAGATTTCATAGGGACCTCGAATACTGACCACTCGTTTCAACATCTCATCTACACTATTTTTGAGATTGTAGGTACCAGGTCCCAAACCGCTTCCCTAAAGTCAATCAGGATGAAAAAGCGTCAGAGATACATGAAAACAGCTGCATAGTGTGGCACATTTAAGCAGGTGAACGTTGATCCCTATCTAGCAGTAGATAGATATGCTATATCTAGGGGCCCAGCACTTGACTTCATGGCTCCATCTGCTCCATGGGAAATCACAGATATGATGGGTCAAGTAAGCACTGCCATTGGATGATCACAAAGCTATTTGTAACCCAATAAGAAAAATTACTTCCATTTTGCTCCAGTAGCATGGAGGAGCTTCTGGCAGAAAAGAGGAATAGTTACAAGAATCCCCACCCACTTTGGATGAAAGTAGAATGCAAAGGTTTTATAAAAAGGGATGTTATAACACTGATGAAACAACAAAAAGTAATGATTTTATGGTTACAGTACTGTCAATCCAGAGAAGGCTGACAGATGGAAGCAGGACTTCCATCTTTGCACTCCAAAGACCCTTTCCGATTGATGAAGATTTACACAGAGATGGGCAACCTGCAGCCCCAGGTTTGCACAAGGCCCTCATATTTCAGTTTTGCAGGCCCTGGAGTCTCTGATCTCAATTGCTGAAAATGGAACTCAAACGTTTAAATGATATTTTAGATTCAGTTCCCAAGCATTTTCAGGCAGTAAAGGCAGGACCCTGGAGGACTAGTCCTAAAATTGGCTTAAACTACTCAAACAACAGGGGAAATCTCTAAATCCTATTCCCACCCTTTTATTTCATCCATGCATCTTCCCCCTCAAAATGTTAACTGTGATGCTCAGTCATCAAACATTTACTTAAGGCTGCTATCTGGGAATAGATGAAATCAAAAACAAAGGAACCACGGTTCTCTCCAACTCAAAATAATCTACAATGATTGTCAGCTGCACTGTAGCATTTTAGACAGGGTCTTTTCCCAGCCATAACGAGAGAGGCCAGGGTTTCAACCCCAAGACCTTCTGTGTGTGATGCTCTCCTACTGAACTGTATAAAGTTTTTCTGTACTGTTGAGATTATTTATTTATTCATTTATTTGTTTAAAGAATTAATATGGCCACCCAACTCGAACAATGTAACACTGGGTGGCTTACTGCAAAGAACAACCAAGATAAAAAATACAACAATCAACCAACAAAAATAATAATAGGAATCTGGCTCACGTTCATCGCTGTGTCCCAATGGAAACTTACTCATCACGGTCCCAATGCCCAGGGGAAGAGCCAAGTTTTTAAGGTCTTTCTAAAGCGCAGCAGGGTCAGGGCCAACCCAACATCAGGGGAAAATTCATTCCAAGGGCAGATGCTGCTACAGAAAAGATACAGCTTCTGGGTCCCATCAGGAAATATTGTTTCAAGGAAGGGACCCAGAGCATCCCCACCCTATTACAGCACGTTGGATAGGCATAGATGAAGGCCTATCCCCTTGTCCTTGTCCTTAATTTGGCAGCATGAAATGTGCTGCCTCCTTTGCTGCTGTTCCCAGTCACTGCAAGTCCCTGACTTCTCTCCCAGGTAAAGCCTAAAATATAGTATTTGCTTTGCAGCTGTCATTGGATGCTTTGGTCTCAGAGGACTTATGCCTGTCCCACTCCTGGATTGGGGTGAGATGAAGTTAACTTCATGGGAACACAATAAAAAAAGAAATGTTGCCAGGGCATATTTGGACCATGGTTAGGTGTAAGAGGGGCAAGGTTCATAGTTCATATCCAACCAATCAATTGTTGAGCTGTTCCTTTCTATGGCAGCACTAGTCAGCCAGTGTGAAAATCACTGCCACAAACAACAGCCAGGTGGAAAATCAAGAAGGTAAACTTGCCATATGGACAAAGGTGAACTCTTTAGGAGTTTTACTGTCCATTATTCCTAGGGCAGTCACTGAGACTTTTTCCTTTTCGTCTAGTTTGACATAAGGATTCCCGTAGGTACCAGGGCCAGGATAACATTCCTAAGAGGATGGGGATGGGACAGAGAGAGAGGGAGAGAGAGAGAGAGAGAGAGAGAAATAATCAACACTATAGGAAAATAATAAATATCTCATCTGAACTGTTCCCTAGTTCCAGATTTAGCTTAGAGGCTAAGGTCACTGCTAAAGTGGCAATTCCTTGCAAACAAGGACAGCTCTATTTGTTCACTGAGTGGTATGCGCAGATTTTGCCTGATTCCCATCAGGTCTTTCTTTTTTTATATCAGTCCAGAGTTGTTCATCAATATTTATTTTAATAGGACCTAATGGGATCTATATGACATTAGCAGTCATTCTTCAGGTCAATTTTTTCCCTCTCATGCTAATGTCTTTCTCAGGGAAACAAAGCCCTAGGTGGGAATGGTTGAAAGAGATGGATACATTCAATTTGGAGAAAGACTCTATCATTGCCTTCAAATAACTGAAGATCAGGCATGCAGAAGAGGGAGCAGACTTGTTTTCTGGTGCTCCCCTGGACAAGACCTTGTGGCTGTAAGATTACTGTAATGGTTTCTAAAAGTTTCTAAAAGTTCAAGGAAACTTCCTAACAACAAATGCTGTTCAGTGATGGAAGACACAACCTCAGGAATTAGTTGTTTGAAATACTTAACTCAAGGGCTATATGCTAAAATTGGATTTCTAATCAGAGGGTGTGCTAAGTTCTTTCTCACTATATGTTTCTATGGCTTTTCACACAATCTACTTAAAAAAGAAATAGATTTTTTTTTATCTCGCCTTTCTTATTTTTATAAATAACTCAAGGCAGCGAACATACCTGATTACTCCTTCCTCCTCCTATTTTCCCCACAACAACAACTCTGTGAGGTGAGTTGGGCTGAGAGAAAGTGACTGGCCCAAAGACACCCAGCTGGCTTTCATGCCTAAGGCAGGACTAGAACTCACAGTCTCCTGCTGTCTAGCCTGGTACCTTCCCCACTAGACCAAAGTGGCTCTCTTGGGGGAATTACTGAATATCCACCCACTTCTTTTAGACCTGTCTATATCCCATGATTCCTTCTGGCAGGGGAGTACAAGCAAAGTTTCAGTACATCAATAGTCCCTTCCCATTGATCAGGCAGACAGGAATAACATAGTTTGAGCGCTGCCACAGACAATACTATTTGGCAGAGGTTTTCTGCACTGGCAGGCCTTGAGGATGAGTTCTGCAGTGAAGAAGGCTGCTTTTTCAGCTTTTTTATAGCTCCGACTTTTTTTCTCAGAGGACTGACAGGATGAGGTTTGATAACTATCCAAGAGTTGATTCGGTTTCATTGTTTACTCACCAGGAAACCATGGTTTCACCTAAAATATACCCAGGGCTGTTTGGTGTTAGGAGTAATCCTTGCTAACCTTTCTGCTAACTGGGTTATGGTGTTTACAAAGTATGTTTACACTACCCTTTGCCTTCTTAAGCATGCTGTGTGAATAGAGACTATGGAAGAATAGGAAATGGTTTATTTCTTGGATTTCTGTTTATTATATTGCTATGACAAGGACATAAGCCATGCCATGGAGAAACGTATTATGTTCATCCATTGGTGCTTAGATAAGTATTGGTCTGAAGATTATTTATTAGCTTTTCCTGCATAATAAATAGTTCATGCCCTTGTGAGTGGAAAGAGAGCTATATATTGATTTCCCTTCAGTAACGCATGCATTTCAGGTTCTGGACTCACAAATACAGAATAATAAAATTCATATTGCAAATACCAACTTTGCTACCATGATGACAGTGATGTGCAGGAGTGTCTGCAGAGAGAAGAGGATAAAAAAAAAACAAACCCTCAAGATGACAATTGTAACCCTAAGATCAAAATCCCACCCTTTTTTTTTGTGCGTTGCATGTGTGATGCATATATAAAAAAGGAGCAGGACTGAGATTGTGGGTCCATAGCTGTCATCCTGACTTTTTTGCCCAACCCCTGCCTGCAAGACTTTCCTGGTGAAGTATTTTTGGAATGTATTAATGGGACACAGCCATCCCCAATGTGAGTTGGACTATCACATTACAGCTAGTGGTACCAGACGGGGGAAAGGCTAACCATAAATAAATATTAAAATATTCCTGAGAAAACCATAGGAAAGTCAGATAACTGTATTCTAGTAACATGGAAAAAATTGCAGTTACAGTTGTTTTAGACATCTGATTGTTTTTCTAGCAAGTAGAATGGTGGTAATAAGAAGTTGTTTTTCACCTACTAATCCACCATGAGTCACTCTTGCTTCGCAGTTACTGACTTCAATCTTGCTCTGATGAAGAAATGTAATTTAATTGCTGAGCAAGCATTCCGTCTACCTGGCAGTAGCTTCTAAAAGCACCAGGAATAAAAGAGGTATATTTTCCTTCAAGCCTTGTCCTTTCTTTTTCTTCAACACATACTCAGAGGTAGAGATTTGCCAGCAGAGATTTCACAAAAAGAGTGTGGGTTTCAGATTATTTTATGATGGAAGTGGGCAATCTGTAACCCAAATGCCAGTCCTAGGTCCCTTTTATCAGGGATACTTAACCTGAACAAACAAGCTGGATTCAGTTAGTCAAGAAAGCTTTTTCTAGACACAAAACACCAAAGGCTGTGATCAGAGTCGTGGCTTGAATGACAGGAGGGGCAAAATAGGACAAGTGAAAAATATGCATCATGACATAACTATGTGCCTCATACCCTTATGACAGTTGCCAAGACACAAGTATATAAGAGCAGGTTTTATATCACATATAAATTTATCTGCACATGCGTGTTGCCATTTTTGCATCATTGCAGCTTGCTGTAGCTGTCATTGATTCATGTGTTACTGTACTCTCATTTTCTGGGATTGCACAATACTCTAGGTTAAAATGTGATTGGCTCATTCGTGGTCCAGTATGCCATGCAATCACAGTATATTTATGGACAACAATGTAGAGAATATGCTAACACTTTTATATTTTCATGCCAGAGTAGTACGAATTATCCAACTGCTAGGCAAGATGAATACAGAACTGCTAAATTAGGTTGGTACCTGACTGACCTCTGCTCTTCTACATTTTACTGCAGTAAGCTGAAACTAACTCTTTATTTACACTTAGGTGGAGTGGCAGGGACATGATAAAAAATCCAAGACGGTGTTAATATCCATGCAATCAAAGCCCCACCCCTTTGTAGACACACACAATGTTGATACATGTACAATAGGTCCAGGGCTTCTATCACATGGTTTAATCTATTTTATTGTTCCCCCACTTGCCGCAGATGCCACTTGCCATTGTTATTCCAACAGACCAGCCTTGCTCCATGCCCTTGAGTGAGCCAAGGAAGAGAAACTGGATGAGCCAAGAGAGTGAAGGAGGACAATGCAGGCTGAATGAGAGAAGAAACTCTTCCCAGACAATTAGCTCAGATCTATAGCAAGAGTGATCTGTCCCTTCACCAGCAGTCTTCTTGATGGGGAAAACATAGTGGTGGGATATGTTTTCCCTATCAAGAGGAGAGATCAGCCCAAAGAAAGCAAAGGGTGTCCCTGCACACCTTTGCTTTCTTCTAGCCACCATTGTCACATCCATTGTCATATTAGTATGCAAAATACCTGAGTCTAGTCACTACCTCAGATTAGTTAGACCCAAAATACATAACCAGGTACCCTCCAGGTGTTTTTGAATACAACTATCATACTCCCTGTCCACTAATTATGCTCTCTGGTGGTTATTGGTAGTTGTAATTTAAAATACCAAGGCACTAGGTTCTGGATTAGGAACAAGAGTGCTAGATGGCAATGCAGTGAAACTTCTGAGTGTAGGGAGAAATTCTAGCTTCCGGCATTTGACATCCATATTCTTACACTACAGTAAGTTCTGCTTCTCCTCCTCCTGCTGAACTGGAGAGTCACAGGAGTACTTTCCCAACCCATCATCTTCTAGGTTGTTGGAAGTGGCTGTGTTTACATGGTTCATACCTGGACCCATTTTAACCAACTATGTTGTGTGAACCCAACTTGTTTATGGTTCAGTCTGCAGTGCAAACTCAGAAAATAAGATTCATTGTGTAAAACCTGGACCATAACATGAAAAAATATACATCTCACCATCAGATCACTGGCTATATTGGATATACTGAGTCTCATTGTCCCATAATGCAGATGTTATGAATGCAAGTTCCTTTATGGAAATAAATAATCTCCAGCTGGCTTTAAAATAACCTTATTTTTAGAGCTGTGCTCTAAAATTTACAGCAAGAACTAATGAAAAAGGTACATGTTCAACAAATTATATTAGCTTATGAACATGAATTTTTGGTTGTTTTGTTTGGTTGGTATTCTTGGAAATTGCTGCTCTTCACTTATGATCCCAAATTATTTTCAGGTTTTTTGCAGTTATAATGAATTATTCCAGATCCATCTCATCTCCCCATGTTTTAATTAGCAATGTGCAAAAATACTTATTTCTCAGTGGTTGTTTTATGAAGAAACTGTAGTCCAGGTTTGTCCAGCTAACTATCTTTCAAACGTGCTGAACTACATGATCCTTTATCAGATAGCCATCCTGAGGGTAACAGAGTATATGGACAATGGCCAAGCTGGCTAGTAATGATGATGGGAGTAGTAATCCAACAACATGGATTAGGGTAAACTGGTCTAACTTTTTCTTTCTTTTGAATGTTCTTCAAATTATCATTTCTAGCAAAGATAAAAATTAGGTCATACCCTGATGCGGTCTTTAAATCTCACTTCTCCGGTATCACAAATTCCTTTAATACTGTGTGGACGTCTTTCCATCAGCTCCAGAAAATCTGTATAATTGTAAGTCCCAGGTCCCAATTTTCTTTTCTTGGAGAAAAATAAACATGAGAATATGGTTGAGAAAATGGATGCCCATCTCTTGAATAGCCCTCTACTATTAGGAAGGCTGGAGAGAGGGAGGGAGGGAGAGGGAGAGAGAGAGAGAGATACACATATACATATTGTAGTGAATGTATTTTTGTACCCTAGCATTCTTGCTCACAACTACTGTTTCCTCATTCCTAATAACAGTGGGGAAACAATCATCTTGGTTAGGATGAGTGCTGAATCTTTTCTCCTCTCCTCTCTAATAATCTGTTCCCCTATGTCCAGATGATCAGCTGAAAGGTGAATGTATTTGCCAGGGATCTGTGGTCAAAGAAACAGTGGATTGTACTTATGTGTTGTAGGGATTATATCTGGAATGCAGGAATTGGAATGACCACTAACTGGAAGTAAAGAAATACCAACAACTAACTCTAGCCTTAGATGTAAGGTCATAGCTAGTTAATTTTGTGTAATGCAGAATTTTACATAAATTAGAAGAGTTTGAACAAAACTCTCAGAAATGTTGGAGCAAAGTAAAAAAGTTATTAATAACACTTGTACATTTCTGAGAATAATTTCACAGCACTGTGACAAGTTACCTTTCTGAGGGTCTTTACCTTAACATCTGCTGTTGTTGAGTGGGCCAAATAAGAGAATACGGTAACAAGAGAAGTGGGATGGATGGACAGATAGATGGGATTCATTGTTTTGAATTCTAATGTTGCTGTGAGGGATATATCATCACTGGGTAACAACATGGTGATCCTAAAGGGGAAGACTTGATGTAATTCTAAACAATCTTGGAATGGAGCTCTACTGAAGTAGATAGCCCCCTTCATGGTTCACTTATCTGATCAAGCAGGATCTGCAGTTCCAAATATATTTCTACTCATGTTCAAGTAAATGCATGTAAAACCACCTTACACTGTAAGTCTACCAGGTCTCTGCTGAGAAAATCCTGATAATTTTTACTAGCTGATGGTAAAGAGATGGAATTTTTAAGAGCCCTTTTCTGCCATCTAGTGGTCAGTCGATGTTGCAGACAGATCTGGTAGCCTTGCTATCAGTGTTCGCTAGAGCCCGAAACTGAAGCATATACAGTATGAGGAATTTACAGGCTGGGGCCAGCACAAGCAGTCCTATTACCCTGCTCACTTTGAGTCCTTACTGGTTCAAGGAATGCACGGAAAAGCCCATTATCAGCACTCAGGGCCATGGACCTAAATAGAATCCACTCACCCGAAATTTCTCCTGCTGGCATATTTCCTTAAATTTAAAATGTGGCATTTGAGTGAGTCTCGCTGCCTCTTGAGCCTTTGCCCAGCTAGAGCTTGATGCCTTCTTCTGCAAGATAGTAGACCTGAAGTTTCCATTTTCAATCGTATAAGTGCCTGGTCCTAATTTTCGGCTCTAAAGAAAGAATGAAATTAATATTGTTCCCTCATTTATAGATACAGTTTGAAAAATAGACTAACCAGAGCTAGATCAGGTACAAAGTGCTATAATTCAGCTTTCCACAACTATGTGCCACCCAGATGTTATTGACTACTGTTCCCATCAAGCTAGCCAGAATGGCTAGTATACAGAGGTAATAGAAATCAGAGTCCATAACATCTACAGCATGTCAGGTACCCTCTATGACCGAGTGTACACTATTGCCTGCTAAACCATGATGTGGACTGTTTGTTTTTGGCTTAGTATGATGTGTGAATCCATAGATATCCATCAAACAGCAACAAATTACACTTGATCTTAGCCAAAAGGCTGAGAAGCAATATCTATAAAAAGCCATGATGATGACCACACATGCATTATGAGATCATTGCATCAATGATGTGATTATGTAATTTGCGGTAGTGATGTCATGGTAATACATAGACATATATGTCATCATCTGTTCCTTTTTTGCAGGAACCTATGTTGACTCTAGCCCAGAGGGAACCTAACATTTTTAACCAAAAGGATACATTTCATACCACACTAAGTGTAACAGACAGAAGGAATAACCTTGAGGAATAGGAGGAAAAACTGCAACCAAGACAATGGTCTGATAAAAGAAATCTGAGTCTGGGCCAGAATTGTAACCTGAGAAAGCGTCTCAGGCAAGACCCTTCCTAGTTCTCCCAAAGATAAAGCGAGGGAGAGGAGAAGTGTATTTAGACTTGCAAGATTCTGTTTTTTGTTGTTGTTCAGTCG